GGTTATTTCTCTGAGCACTGAATACCTTGTACTTCTGAGCACTGCAGGTAGGTTGCAGTTCTGGAATATGACAGCACTGGAGGATAATGGGTTCCTGGTAGCTTCACGTTTGATTCTTCTCAAATCTTTGGAAGTTGATTTGCGTCTTTCTTTCTCAACACGTTTCTTGCAACCCTGTTGACTATTTGCAACAAAACGTTTCATGGTTCTGCAATCACACCCCAATATCTTGGGTTTTGATCTCCTTAGGCCACACCCTCCCTCATTACACAAATACACATCACCTGATATGCTTAAATCCAACAAGCCTTCAAGCTTATACAGCTTGGAGTTAGGACAATATGCATAAAAATAATGATTTGGTCAAAATACTCACTTGCCTAATAATTGTGCACACACTGTATTTCCTCAATCATTTACAAACATTGTAGTGATCAGTACTGATCACTCAGTGTTTGTTTGTCACAGTAAAAGGATCTGTATATATTTTACATATTTGCCGATCCTCCGCTACCCATCCTGAGCCGCTCCGCCGCCTCCCCACTCTCCATCCTGACTCCTCCTGGCTGTCACAGCTGATGAACTCTCCTCCCTGCTGGTGCCGGCTGCAGTGGTTGGTGTCCCTACCTATCCCCGCTGCCTCTGCTGAAGCAGGCGGGGGAGAGCAGCAGGGTTCCGAGTAGATACAGACTGCAGCAGGTCTCCCAGTAGGCAGGTGAGAGCTGCAGAGTGGCGAGAGCAGAGCCGATGTGCCAGCGGGAGGGGGGGGGATTGGGAGCTGGCCACCTGCTGCAGTGGTCTGTGTCCCCTATGATCCTTGCTGGGAGCAGCGGGGATTGGAGGGGACTGAGACAGATCAACGAATCAATAATGAGAATCGTCAATGATTCCTATGATTGATTGTTATCGACAAAATCGATTAGTTGTTTCAGACCTAATTTGAACGTTTGGAAATGAAATAGATTGGTCTGCCAGAGATAGCCAACTGGCATCCTCAGGAGGTCAGAAACATATTTATCTCAGTCCAGTTTTTCTTTAACTACCTCCCGGCCAGCCGCTGTGTATACACGGCCTGCCGGGAGCTTCTTGGATGTAACTGGGCGTGTATACACGTCCTGTTACATCCACCCGCTCGGGCGCGCCGTGCGGCGCGCGCGAGCGGGAAATCCCCGCTATTTGAAAAGCTACAGCGATGCCCGTTAATATACAAGCGATCCGCCGGCTATAGAGCCGGCGGATCGCTTGTATGAAGCCCAGAGACGTGCGCCCCC